GTGAAATTGTGGAATCGATTATAATTAGGTGTTTCGCGAGTGTATAAATTATTGATGAATTATATTGATGGATATAAATTATTTGCTCAGGTAAGTTGACTTGATATATTTGCTAAGGTGAATTGAGTATTGTGTGTAGATACAATTGAACCTAAAATTTACTTTTTTGTATTGTGTGTAGATAAATGGCTTCATCATCCTCCTCACACCCTCAGCAGTACAGTGTCCATCCCGGTCCGAGGGATGGCACTCTTCTATATCTCCAGTACCGCCACCGGTCACAGGCGGTATTTAGTAATGCGCCGGGAGCTCGTGACACGTCGCTCACAAACCGCCGTTTCGACAGTCAATTCTGGCTGGCTTTGTCAAGCCAGCCACGGTCGGTTTGGGAGGTCATCGACCAGACTGGTTTCGGTCACTTGTTTCGGATGGGTCGAGTCCAAGCCGACAACAGCCTTCTTACTGCTCTCGTGGAGAGGTGGCGCCCAGAGACGCATACATTCCATTTCGATTTCGGCGAGGCCACCATCACGCTCCAGGACGTACAAGTCCTGTTCGGTCTGCCAGTCGGTGGAGCTGCTGTTGTGGGAGTGACTAGAGATCTATCACCCCTACAGTGGCGAGAGAGGTGCTTCCTTGCTAGGGTACGAGCCCTATGTTCAGGTATATTTTTTCATACAATTTTTTTTTAAATATATGTCAACTCAATTTTATTGTTTCTAATATGAAAAAACTACTTTCAGGATCCTCCCACCACCGAGGAAGAAAGGGCAGCCCAAGATCCAAAGTCTTGGGACATTAGAGGCCAGTATCTGAATGATGGAGGGTTAGAGGAGGAATGCAACCGTGTGTTGCAAGAAGGGCTACCGGACATCGTGTACGAGCAGAGGGCGAGGGCCCTTATCTTCTGGTGCATTGGGTCCTTCATGTTCCCCGACCAGCGGGCGAATGGCGTCCCACTTTACTGGCTGGACCTGCTGCAGGACATAGATGCTGTGAAGGGATACAGTTGGGGTTCAGCTCTACTGGCCGGAGTGTACAGAGCTTTGTCAACCTCGTACATGGCCAAGGAGAAGTGGCTGAAGCACTGCATTCAATTGATCCAGGTAAATTTATTTAATTGTTATTTTAAATTTTAATATTGTATTCTTTCTTATTTAATTGTTATTCCATTTGTGTAGGTTTGGGCATGGGAGCATATCCCTCGTATTCGCCCAATAGTCAAGAACAGTAGGTTTCATACTCTGCCCGATTGTCCATTGGGAGCGAGGTAACCTTTATTTTTATTTAATCCGTACATTATTTTCATTACCAAATTTTGTGATTACAACCTTTTTTTTTTCTCTGATTTTTAAGGTGGGTGGGACCGAAAAAGAAGTCGAACATAGCAACTACATTGGTCGCCTACCGGGATCAGTTGACAGGGCTGGGAGAGTATGATGTAATATTTTTAATTTCTATTACTTCATTTATCTTTCTTTTTTTGTTTATAATTTTGTAATAACTTAATTACTAATTCAATTGTTATTTTTTTTACAGTTTGACTGGCAGCCATATCGGCAACACCTGGAGGATGATACTCTCCCGGAGGCGTGCTCAAGAGATCCACAATTTTGGATGTACCGGGGATGGATTTTCAGCTGGAACATCCGGGAGGTACACCTGCCTGACAGGGTCCTCCGTCAATTTGGGTGCCGGCAGTCCATACCCCACGATCCGATCATTCTAGATGAGCGAGAGTGGGACGCACACCACAAGGGTCAGGGGATGACTGGGAGAGCGTTTTACGATTGGGCCGCATTCCATGTGCCCTTTCTGACCTCGTGGACCGAAGAACTAGAACAACGTCTCCTCCCAGTTGTCCTCGTGCACGACTATCTGCAGCCGGAGCAGGGTTACATTGATTGGTTTCACAGCAGGACTGTGAGATTCATCAATAACCCTGCCAATTACCCGGTGTTCCAGCATGCGGGCGGGTATCAGCCACTTGCCGAGCGCTTAGGCTGTCAGGTAAGTGTTCATTATTATTATTATTATTATTATTATTATTATTTTTTTGTGTTTTATACTAATTATTATGAAATTTATTTACAGACTTCTGCACTGCAAGGGGTTTATGGCGCATTATCGGACATTCAACCATTACTGCCTCAAATCCCTCCAGAAGCGCAGACCGGCTTCCAACAGTCATACAACTTTGCCTTCTCTTCTCTGACTGTTGGGGGCCAGGGTGTTCCACATGGGGGGCCGTCCAGTCAAGTTTTCTCCCAGGACGAATACATGGCTCCCATGAGGACACAGTCGCACACGGCCAGGCATCAACCCGCCCCCAACATTGGTGGTGGTAGAAGACCTCGGGCCCGTCCCCGCACTCAGCCGTCAGCCCAGCACATCCAACCTGAGCAGCCCGAGCCTGAACAAGGTGAGATTTTTAAATTAACAATTTCTTTTTTTTTTTTTTTTTTTTTACAATCCAATTTATGATTTCTTTTTTTAATTGAACTATTCAGATGAAGAAGATGAAATTGAGCAAGCTTTTCAAACTGACACAATTCTCACACCTCAACCTTCGTCTTCTGCTCAAATCGTATATACTCGGAGGGGTTCCAGACCGCGCAGGCCTACAAAACCATTCACTCCTTCCTAGTTAGTAGTGTTGAATTCGTGGAATTGTGTTTATTTTGGATTGTTGGATTGTTTGTATAAACCGAATATATCGTTTTGTATATATTGTTTGTTCGACAAATTATTGTGTTTCATTTGTTTGTTTATATGATATGTTGGATTATTATTGGGCGAATATGTTGATATTAGTTGCTCGAACAGGTGTATTTGGTTGTGAACAGGTATATTTCAATTTGAACAGGATTTCTGATAAAAACGTATTCCGTAAATACGTGTTACAGTTTTTTAAAACAAAAAACGTATTTCATGAATACGTTTATATTGGATTTAGGTTTTTGGGGCAAAATTAGGGCACCAAAAATCAATTCGGGACAAAATTACATATAAAACGTATTTACGAAATACGGTTTACATTTCGAAATTTTTGTCCCGAGAAAAATTATTTTTAGGAATTGTAAAAATTATTTTTCTTTTATAAAACGTATTACGTAAATACGTTTTATAATAAAAAAAATTAAAAACGTATTCGCGTAATACGTTCTTATTTTTTTTCGTCATAAAACGTATTTCGTAAATACGTTGTATAATAAAAAATATATATACACCTAATTTTAAATTGAAAACGTATTCAGTTAATACGTTCGTACTTTTTTTTTCGGCATAAAACGTATTCAGCCAATACGTTTTACCTTGTTTTACTTAAGTTAATTACGTTACTTAAGTTAACAAATTATTTTTTAGGGAAACGTATGCCATGAACGTTTTATTATTGAGGACGTATTAGCTGAATACGGTTTTTAAATGAAAACGTATTCCTGTAATACGTGCTTTTCATTGTGGTCGACAATATTTTTTTTTTTTTGTCCACTTTTTTTTTTTATTAGTAAAAAAATCCATATTTAAGTGCCTTTTCCTATCCGGTCTAAGGCCTTGTTTGGTATTAGTTGTTAACTGTTAGCGGATTCTGTTAAATGTTTTGACTAGCTGATAGTGTTAGCGGTTTGTAAAAAAGTATTTGGTAATAGCAATTTTGGATTAGTTGTTACCATATAAAATTACTTATAAGGATATCAACAAACTTTTTATCATTATTATTTATGTTGAACTTATAATTATTTAAGAAATAAAAATAATTAAAATTTGAAATGTTTATTAAAATAATTTAAAATATATAAAAATATAAATAATTTTATATTTCTTAATCAAAGCAAATAACAAATCATCAACTCTTTGTAGGGATTATTTGGACAATATTATTAGTGTGAATCCCAAAATTCTAAATAAAAAACAATCAAATTATATTTGTCCTTAATCTTATTTGATAAAAATCTTTCTTTTTCCTACATTTCCACTTTCATTATTTCCACACCAATTTACACACAACAAAAATTGCTTAATTTCGAATAATTTGACCAGAACCATCGTCCCCAAAAACCCATGGGCCACAATCCTAATAAAACTCTTTTCTTTGACGAAATTTGGTGTCTTTTTTTCCCAGAATTTGGCAGCCCGTAATAAGAAATCGCAATTGAACACAAATTAAAACACTTTGAATCTTTATTTATTTTTTTATGTGTAATTTATACCCTAAATTAGTTTCAGTCATCCATGGCTGCTGCCCTGCGGTCGAAATCATCTCGTGATAGAGCTTCGGCCGCTGTTTACCAAGCCTGTGACTTTTCCTTTATTTTATTTTTTTCTTCAATTTGTAGAAGTTGTAAGGGTAGGACTGCCCTCGAGCACAACTTATTTGGAAACTCTCCCCTCTCAGCTGGGATGGACAGATGCTGGACAACTCCAATTTCAAAGGTTGGTGGACACAACTCTGCTTCATTAAAAAAATCGTCATGTGTTGATGATAGGCTCCACCTCACTGCTTACCTACTTTGGGCAATCTGGAAATCGAGAAACATGATTTACTTTCAGAATGTGTGGAAGCCAGAGAGATTTGTGGTGGCGGCAGCTTGTCGAGAATGGATGGAGTACTCTCTTGCTTTTAGATAATTTCTGTCCTTAGGATTTATGACAGTATTTCCTTTTGGTCCATTGCTTTTGATTTTTTTTTTTTTTTTTTTTCCAACATCAAATGAAATTTGCATTAGCACTCGAAATAAATACAAAGTCGACCAACCAACGGGTTGCAAAGAGGACACCAACCTAAACAAGCTATTTAGTTCAGCGCCTACACAACGGAATAGTCCACATGGACTTTCCTACCAGACCCAACAAGGCCATCCAGTCCAACACCACAAAAACAAACAAAAAACTACTACAACCTGCCAAAACCATCATTAAAAAGGAACTAAACTAAGAGTACAGATTCCATCCTATCAAAACAATAAAACACATCAGCAGCCAATACAGCAACATTCGAGTCAAAGCCATTTCTTGTGTTCAACAGTCTGAGGAGCTGCTTGTTCTGAATGTGAATCTCCACTCTTCTCCATCCTCTGACCAATCCATCTTCCAGCCATTTCCTTAGCTTTACTAGCACATCCTCCACTGAATAGGATCTGACTCCATTCCTAGAGTAGTGCCAGCTATGAGTTTCTGAATCCATTTGCTCAGGTTGTCTCCTTACCCTTTCATCACCAGTATGCAGAGCTATAGCACTGGTTGCCAGATCTTGCAACCCTACTCCTTGCTCAACACCTAGATCCTGACAGCCATCACCCAACCTTTCTTTTGCTCGGCCATCCCCACTACTTCCTTTAATATCTGCATATTCCAACCATTCCAGCTTTGCCCCTTTCACCACATCAACCTCCAAACTGTGAACCTTTTGAAATATCCAATTGTTTCTAGTCTTCCAGAGCCACCATAACAGGTAAGTAGATAAGGAGATCCTATCCCTGTTGTGGTCCTCCTCTGTTAGATCACATGCCTCATGCCACCAATCCTTGAAATCTCCTGCTGGATACTGAATGCTAGACCATTGCAGACCTGCTATTTTCCAAACTCTTTGAGCTCTCTCACAATGGAAAAACAAATGGTCTAATGTCTCTTCATCTTCCCCACACCAGCAGCATACAGCATCATCCCTCACACCTTTCCTTTTCAAATTATCCATTGTTGCCAGCCAATTGTGGTAGCACCTCCATATGAAGTTTCTAATCTTTGGTTTGGTTGGCATACTCCAAGTCTTCCTCCATAACTTCTTCTTCTGCTCTGATGCCCTACTAGACTCTGGTTCCTGAGATTCTCCTCTCTTCACTTTCTGTATCAGCTCATATGCACTCTTGACTGAAAATGTGCCCTTTTTGTCCAGATGCCAGATGATTTTGTCTCTAACTCCAGAATGACTGATATGGATTTTGATTATATTGGCAGCATCACCAGGAGTGAAGGTCTGCAAAATCAATTCAAGATCCCATTCCCTGCCATCTACAGTCATTAGATCAGAAACTTTACATAACCTATTCTTATCTCCTTCAAAACAGCATACAGGTTTAAATAAAACAGACCCGGGCACCCAAGGACTGTTCCACACATCTATTGTCTTGCCATCACCCACCTGGTACCTATAACCTAACTTAAGAAACTTTCTAGCCCCCAACCAACTCTTCCACATCCATGAATCACTGTCCCTCTTCTTCACCTCCCACAAGTTCTGCTTATAAAGATACTTACCCCTAATTAGCCTACTCATGAGAGTGTTGGGCTTAGTCAGAACCCTCCACAACTGCTTCATGATTAGGGCCTCATTGAAATCCACTAAATCTCTAAAACCCAGACCACCTCCCCCCTTTGATTTGGCTAATACACTCCACTTAGCCCAGTGGATTTTTTTACCCCCCTCCTCATTTTTCCCCCACCAAAACCCAGCAATCTCTCTACACAACTCCTTACAAACACTAATAGGCACTCGAAAGACAGACATGACATAGACAGGAAGGGCACTCAGAATAGATTTCACAAGGACCTCTCTCCCTGCCTCACTCAAAAAAGAATTCTTCCAATTTGTGACTCTAGAAACTACACACTCCCTCACAAAAGCAAAAGTGTCCCTCTTATTTCTGCCAATCCCCATAGGAAGACCCAGGTACTTAGAGTTCCTAGCCACCACAATTCCATTCAGAATTTGGCAGATAGCCCCACTGACATGATCAGGAGTGTTCCCAGAGAAGAAGATATTGGATTTAGACAAATTTACAGATTGACCAGATGCATTACAATATATATTAAGAATCTGAAGCACAAGAGATGCATGATGAGTGTCTGCTTGGCAAAAAACAAGGGAGTCATCAGCAAAAAACAGGTGAGATACAGTAGGAGCATGAAAGCTGACCTTAAGACCAATAAAAGATTTAGCAAGACAAGCTTGGTGTATCAAATTCGACAAAACCTCAGACAAGATGATGAAGAGGTAAGGGGATAGGGGATCCCCTTGTCTCAACCCTCTGGAAGGAGTCACATTACCCTGAATTTGGCCATTTATATTGAAAGAAAAAGATGATGAGCTAATGCATGACCAAATCCAAATTAAAAAAGATTCACTGAAACCCATGTGTCTACAAACCCTAATCAGAAAACCCCACTCCACCCTGTCATAAGCTTTTGCCATATCCAACTTTATTGCCATGACACACTTTTTACCTTTTTTTCTTCTGTTTAAAGCATGGATACACTCATTGGCTATGATCACATTGTCAAGAATCATCCTACCTGGAACAAAAGCTGCCTGAGAATGGGAAATACATACATGAAGAACAGATTTCATTCTATTAGCTAGGATTTTAGCTATCAATCTATAGGTGATGATGCACAAACTAATAGGCCTATAATCTGCAACTCTCTGAGGGAATTTAATTTTAGGGATAAGAGTTATAACTGTATGGTTTGTGGCCTTTGGAATGCACCCAGAATGGAAAAAATTAGATATGGCACTAATGAGGTCATACTTAATGATATGCCATGAAGATTGGAAAAACATAGGTGAAAAACCATTTATACCTGGTGCCTTGTTTGGATCCATCTCCCACAAGGCTGCTTTGATATCTGCCTCTGTCACAGTGCTAGTGAGTCTTTGATTCATAGCAGGGGTGATAGACTTTGGGATACCTTGCAACACTGCTGGGTCAAAATTGGGATTCTGAGTTGTGAACAGTTGGTTAAAGAAATCTGATATCTCTGCCAGGTAATCTGCATCACTTTCACATCTTTGTCCCCACATATTGACCAACTGTTCCAAACTATTCCTACCCCTTCTTTGTCTGACACATGCCTGAAAAAATCTTGTATTACAATCCCCTTCTTTCAGCCATCTAACCCTTGCCTTTTGTTTCCAGAATATCTCCTCATCTTTATAAGCTTGGTGGAGTTGTTTTTTGCATTGAACCCATTCCTCCCAATCCCTCTGATCCCCCTGCTGACCCATCATTTCTAATTTGGCATTGCAGGCCCTTATAGTATGAGCAGAGTTTGTGCCTTTCCCAGTTAACCATCCAAGGAGGCCCATTTTCACACTTCTCAACTTTCTCTGAAATTTATAGACCCCAGTGCCATTAACATTTATAGCCCAGGCCTTTTGTAGGCAGTCAATGTAACCCTCCTCCTTCACCCATCTACTATCAAAAATAAACCTCTTCTTTTTACTTTTACCAGGACCTTCAGTATCCATGAGTAAAATACAGTGATCAGAAGAAACTTGAGAGATGTGTTGAACTAGGGCATTTGGGAAAGAGCAGAACCACTCAGGGGAGAGGAAAATTCTATCAAGTTTAACTTCAACAAAATCCTCCCCTCTCCTGTTATTTGACCATGTGAAAGGGTGTCCTACACTAGGACACTCAATCCCATTAAGATCAGACACAAAATCCCTAAAACCTTTGAAAGAAGACTCCCCTCTCAGAACACCCCCTCTCTTCTCATCATTGTTCAAAATATCATTAAAGTCTCCAGCAACAAACCACATCTTACCCCATGTATGCTTATGTTGACCTAAGAGGTGCCATTGGGACTGCCTCTCAATAGGTCCTACACTAGCATACACAAAAATGGCCCACCAAACCTCAGTCCCCCCTTTCCACCTAAAACCAACCTCAATATTGAAATCAGAACAAATACAATGAACAATGTCCACATTCATAGACCAACCCAACAAAAGACCACCTCTGGTTCCTATAGGATCCACATAAACCCATCTATCAGACATATTAAGGTTTTTACAAACAGCTTTAACAAAAGATTTTTTCTTTTTAGTTTCAGACAAAAAAACAAAATCTGGGAGATAGGCTCTGAGGTTAGCCTTCAACTGGGGAATTGTAGAGGGTCCTCCCAAACCTCTACAATTTCACACCAGAGCTCTCATTTGGAACCCTGGGCCCAGTTATGGCTGGCTGCCTCCACCTTTAATTCATTGCTATCCACATTGTGCTTAAGTTTTTTTGAAAAAGAGTTGTGGATAACCAACTCAGACTCCTCAGGATCAGTTATGGTTTTCCTTTTCAAAATTGCTTTATCACTTTGGGGTTCACAAAAGATTACCTGCTTCTCAGATTTACTATTTTTAGGCTCTACAATTTTACTTCTAGTAAGTCTAATAAAAGACTTTTGAGACTTAGGGACAGGGCCCTGTTGCTGGATTTGGCCAACAGGGACATGTACAAGGTTGCTAAGATCCAAATCCTGTGCCTTTGAACCATCAAGATCCATAGGTACAAAAGAACTAGACCCTAGTTTGCTATCACCCTTGTCCATGCCCTTAGAACTATCCAAGTCATTGTTACTACTGACCACCTCTAGACTTTTACTATCAAGCACTACCCCTTTAGATTTATCAATCTCTCCTATCACAGGCTCTGCAAACTGGTGAGGTGCAATGCTACCAGGGATAACCCTGGGCTGCATCTCCCCTCCCACAGTTGTTTTAGCCTTACTAGACTCAGACTTAGCCCTATTATTCGGGGGACTGGAGGACATTTGCTCTCTAAGCTCAGAGAATCCCCCAAAGGATCCCCTTAGCCATTCCCCAAATTGCCCAGATTTCAACATCTTGCTCTTTATGTCTGCTTTCTTCACCTCACATATTCTATCATGGTGACCTATACGCCCACAGTAAAAACAAAAGGTAAGAAGATGCTCATACCTAAATTCCACCCATTGCTCCTCCGTGCCCAATGTTATTTTTGTACCCCTCGGTATAGGTTCCAATAGATTAACTGCCACAAGAATTCTGACCATGTTTCCATTGTACCCTGCAGCCCCCGGTATCACAACATCAAGGACCTCATCAAAGATTCGCCCAATCTTAATTCCTGTTTCTTCAGATATCCAGTGCAGTGGTAATTTATGGATTTGTACCCAGAGTTCCACCTTCAATTCTTCGTCACGGAATTCCACTTCATTTTTCTTCCATTCCTTCAGGAGCAAATACTGCCCATCAAAAGACCACGCTTTGCCTTGAAGGACCTTGGTTCGATCGTCCACAGATTGAAAAAGAAATTGAAATAAATTTTGCCCCAGCGCTCTGATGGTAAATGGTTGTGAGGTGCGCCAAACATGAGTCATAGTCGTTTTCAACCCATTTAGATTAACCTTCTTCTCTCCAAAAATATTACCGATTAGACTAAGCTCACATCCATGGAGACTCGGTTCTATATCAGTATCTGGGAGTGCAACACCCGCATTTTCCTTATCAAACAAAGCAAACTTTGAGAGTTGTGCGGTTATGTCTTGTGCCATATCACCCCGCTATATATCTCCAGCTCACTAGACAGTAGCAGAGTCACAGATTCAAAACCCCCCTGTAAGATAAGAAAACAATACAAGGCAAGCAGATTAGAGGAAGAGGGAAACCACACACCTATGATGATACACAATATAATATGCTAATAACTAGGAAAAGAACAGCACCCCAACCCAAAACCCCAAACTATCGACTAAAGCGAGATCCCCAAAAAGGTACAGGAAACCCTAATTTCACACCGAGACACAAGCAAAAAAACTGAAAAACGAGCAATAAACACTAAAACCCAAGGAGAGACAAAGGATAGGAAAGGGAAAACACGCAGGAAGGACAGGAAAAAGAGCAAGAAAAATTAACAGACAGATAGAGAACACTCCATATGACATGGAACTTCGAACTCCAAGAGGAGAGGGTTTTCCATAGGTGATATGGAACTTTTGTGTCCATTGCTTTTGATTGGCTTGCTAGGGTCTTTACCAGTGGTCTTGCTAATTTATTTTGGATAGGATTAACCAACAAGCACCGATTTCAGTTGCCATGTCTCTGTCGGATGTTTGAAAGTTAATCCCATCGGATCTTTTGTCTAGGTCACTATTGTTTAGTGAATCTCCATTTCCCTTGGTAGGGTGTATGAGGCTCTTTAGTCTACGAGTTGTAAATATCTTTTGAGCTATAAAATCTATCGTTTCGAAAAAAAAAATAAAAAAAAATAAGGGNCAACAAGTACAACAGGATAATCAACGGGTTACAATACAACGGGAGAAGCACAATAGGATAATCCAAAAGGCAGCGTTTTCATTTTTAACAGTTTTGCCAAAAAAGTTGATTTCAAAAGCTATTTAACAAACATCTTTTTTGGTTGGATTAAAAAAGTAAAAAACGTTAATAGTGTCAAAAACGCTACAGTATGGCAAAAAGCCAATAAATTAACAATCAAAAATCGACTACTGACTCTAGTACCGAAGCTGAATACATTGCAGCATTAGATGCTGCGAAAGAGGCTGTTTGGATACGGAACTTCATCCAAGGGTTGGGTGTAGTACCGTTTGTTGTTGATCCAATAATAATATTTTGTGACAACAATGGGGCTATAGTGCAAGCGAAAGAGCCAAGATCTCATCAAAAGTCCAAACACATTATGAGACGATACCACCTGATTAGAGAAATCATTGGTAGAGGCGACGTCGTTGTGGATCGAGTCGCTTCAGCAGAAAATATAGCAGACCTCTTAACTAAGCCCTTGTCACAGAAAGTGTTTGATGGACATCGAAGACGAGCCTGAAATACATGGGTGATTGGAACTAGGGCAAGTGGGAGATTGTTAGAGTCGAATACCTGGCGTTCCAATCTGATTGGATATTTTTCTACTTGTAAAGACAATTTATTGGAATTTATATTATTTTGAAGCATTTCTTTATCTTATGTCTTTGCATTTATCTTATATTTGCACTTAGAGCATCCACAATGCTTTGGGTTCAATCACAAAAAAGCATATGCCACATAATAAATAGACCCAATCTAAAAAAAAAAAAAAAATGTAGACTAAGTCCTGCTAATCTGGCAGCCAGAAAAAGAGACCCGGTTTACCCTTAAGTCTATTTTAGATCCAAGTAGAGATCTAGTCTCTTTGCATTGGAGTAGATTTTGTTAACTATACATAATTTTATCCATGTCATCCAACACTTGGGTTTTATTTACATGTCATATAGACAAGACTATACTCAATTCATTGTAGATGCTCTTATGATAAAGTCTTTAGATCATTATTACCTATGAGGCATGGTTGCGCATTTGATGGCAACCATGGAACATGTCATTAAAGTTGTGATCTTAAATAAGTTCCAAGTCGATGGGTATTTCGAGACAGGACATTGAATAACCCAGTTAGACTTGTGCATATGTTGCATGCTCGTCGGACGAGGATGTTGCATTCCATCAACATTAGCGTGTGACGCAAATGCATATATGCGGATGCTTGTTGGGGAACAAGTTCACTGAACATGGCCCGATGAAAATTCTTAGCTGCAAATTTTTAACTGTCGAATAAGAATTTTCATGTTGCAACAGTACATGACTAATCCTCTGATTTGAGGCACGATAGTAATCTTGTGTATGTTGTTACTTTGATTTATCCTTTGATTGTTGGACAATCATGAAAGGGATATTTTGGTTACTGTATCAATGTGTATGGAGGTTTCTCTGTGCCCAACATAAAATTCGACACTTATGTGGATAAGTGAATTTCTTATGCTTTTCATAGTTTGTGATTGAAAGTCCTTGGTCGTGGCGGGATGAATGTGGATTCATAAAGGAATCACTAAACTTGAAATGGAATCATAGTTATTAAATCAATTGGGTTTTGACTTATAAATCTATGCCCAAGATTTAGTCGGGAAATTAGTTGTCGAAAAGAATTTTACATGTATGCACTTGCAATTGAAAAGGTTTACTCGTTATTTCACTTAACACTAGATAATCATGCTACTTGCTGGGTGTTACCATGATTTGTGGCTTCTTGAAATTAAGGAGTTAATTTCAAGAATATAAATTAATTAGATTAATTTAAATTACAAACGAGTTGTAAACCCACTACTAGTGTTAATCGTGAACCTAAAAGGGTCACACCAAATTTTGGATGATCATATTTTGAAATTGGTATTTCCAATAGTTGGATTAATTGACAAGAGTTAATTAAATAATTTGATTAAATCTAATGTTGATTAGTTGTAATTAAAGAAATAATATAAATTAAGCAATTCGACTGATTAATTGAGATTTGAATATTAATTAAGTAATTATTAGAATTACTAAATTAATAGTTAGATTTTAAAATTCAAATCCAATTGGAAATATTTTTATTTTACGAGTTCATATTTTGACCAAGTATTTTTGAAAGTTCGTTTTTAAATTAATTGATCATTATATCTTTATTTGAGATTAATGACTACATATATAAAAAAAAAATATTAAAATTTGTGGGGACGGCTAGGTCTAGCCGCTCCATCCATAAACACATATATAGCTCAATTGGTTGAGTTTGTGATGGGAAGAACTCTCCCAAATCTTTTACAATTTTTATATATACATGTGATGTATATGTCAAGCCGATGACATGTTCTCAAAAATTGTTTTTGCAAAGCTCTAGGTAGACTCGAAGTTGTTCTCGAAGTCGGAATCTAAAAGGTGGACTCGATTAGAGGGGAGACACGTGGATCCCTATGACGAGATGCACGAAAACGGTAATAGCCACATACTCGGGAATCGATTCCCTCTTCACCGTATTTACTCAATGACTGCAATATACTATCGTATTTACTCACACACTGTTTTTTTAATAAACCAAAGAAGGCATCAAACGAGGCCCGCCACAGAGCAGGATTATTAGGAATTAAGGTCCATTTGGTCACTTATTAAAGTTGCTCCTAACATTGACCACTTAGAATCCACATTTCAAATATTACAATTCAATATATATACTGTTATATTTTGATAATTTGAAACCAACATGAATCTTGATTTAAAAGGAAAAACACCACTAACAAAACTGAAAAATCATCCATGTTTCAGTTTCACCAAATACTTGGAGGAGAAAGAAAAGGACAAAAATTCAGTTTGGATATTTAATTTCTAACATAACATAAAACCACAAAAAAAATGTGACAAAACACAAATATAAAATAGTCTATATTACATATCTCACCACTGCACATAGACATATAATCTGAGTGTATAAAGGTACAAGTTTTATTAANAAAAAAAAAAAAAAAAAAAAAAGTGTATATATAATATGCAATGAATCTCTGTTGTATCTTCAAGTCCACAAACTTCAGAAAAGCCAATGCTTCTTCCTATGTGTTCTTACAGGAACCTCTGGCAAATATTGGACAAAATATTAGCCTTCATAATGTAATTAATATATATCTTCAACTGATATAAACACTCATATATATAACAAAATTATTTAATAAATAGTGCTGTCAAAGTGAAAATTGTTACCTCCAGCTTGATACAGGGAATTATAGTGAACTTCACTCCAAAAGCTCAGCCACAACTCTTGAAAAAGCAACAGAAATCAACAAAATTGCAAAACGAACGAAATTAAAAGACAACTCGAGCTATTTATTGGACGAAGTTAACGACATTTTTTACTTGTAGATATCCATTTAGTTTTAATGCATGATGGAAGTTAACTAAAAAATTACACTCATTTAAAGCTAAGTTGTACAGAAACAATATTCGAAGTTGGGACAAAATAACATAAAAGTATTACATAAAAAATAGTAAGTGTAAAATTTATATCAAGATCAATAGGAGTTCATATATTGTACCTCTGACAGGAGTTATGTCTTTCGGAAGGATTTCAATGTAGCACGTATCGCGAAAAGATGTGACCAAGCAGATTTTTGCTTCAAACTACATAACATATAAAAAAAAAAAGTAGAGGATTAATATTATTCAAAAACATTATTAGCATAACTCAAGAATTTAGAAATCCGGGAAAGAAAAATTTATGATAACTAACAGTTTAATACCATAGCATATCTGTGCCGAAAGCCGTTTGAATAAGCTAAAAACAGAGATTGGTT